TTCAAACACTGCTCAAGAGTTCTGCAACTTGTTTAAATTATTGTTTATGTTCCTCGCGTCTCTCTCTCCTCGCGTCTCCGTCTCTCTCTGCTCCTCGCGTCTCCGTCTCTCTGCTCCTCTCTGTCTCTCTCTGCTCCTCTCTCCTCGCGTCTCTCTCTCCTCGCGTCTCTCGCACCTGCGCTTCTTAAAGATGTTGTTTGATGCGGAGCAGAGTCAGCAGCTAGATTTGTTGTGAGATTATTAAAAGAAGCTGGTTCTCTTATCTTTACAGTATATAAAGTTTGTGGATGTCATTGCATTGGTGATTAAATGCTATTTTATTTGAATAATGATTGTAAATCTGACTTTTAAAGTCAGTGCCTCCCCAATCACAAACCTCACCGCACGTCCCTGCATTTGACCCATCACGTAATTTCACTAGGGCCTCTGTCAGGAGCAGTGGTCGCCATAGAACAGCGTCCAGGAACCTATCTCCATGAACCCATGTTGATGCTCGGCTTGGTCAGGACTACTGTAGCTGGAGGGTGTTACCAATTGTACATGTTTTTAGTGGTGGGGGAAACCGGAGCACCCAGAGGAAACCTACACAGACTACATGGGGAGAACATGCAAACTCCACGCAAAAAGACCCTGTTCCGACTAGGATTCAAACCCAGGACCTTTTTTGACTGTGAATGTAATCGTATAAAAGTTGAGTTTGACTTGATGAGAGTTATGCTAACAAGCTATCAAAGAGCTGACAACTCACACAAAGTCTGTAAATGACAATTAACCAAGAACATAGCGAACATGCAAACAGAAGGAAACTACTTTTGTATTATTTTAGAGGATTTATATGATACAATATTCTCACATAAATCATTGTATAGCTGCCTTATTCTTCATGCAAACGCCAACATCCTATTTATTCCTTTATTCCTACTAATCCTTCTTTTGATTAGTATTAATGAATCTTAATTTTACACCAGGCGACAGTAGCTCAGTTGGTAGAGCATTGGCCTTTGAGCCTGAAGGTCGTGGGTTCGAGCCCACCTCAAGACCTACTTCACGACTCCCACTGATGACTGCTGTCGTTGTGTCCTTGGGCAAGACACTTAACCCCACTTTGCCTGAAGCCCCCACTGAAAGATCTCAGCTCCTGTGGACTCACCACCTGCAGGAGGATCAGTGAGGGGCTGGTGCTCTGTGGACTGGGTGCAGCTCTGACTGCCACCCCCCGACCCAGAAATGGATTAAGGGGAAGAAAATGGATGGATGGATGAATTTTACACCAGATCATTTGCATAATTCTCATCTAGAACCATTACACATATGAACACAATTAGACCTATTAACTATTAATATAATGAATAGTAATCAGCCTCATCTTGGTTAATCCAATTTGGCGCTGGTATGAGTCTGTGCTAGAGCTGCGAGATGTAACGCTATCAAGGCAAAATTATAATTTCATTAGTCGCTAATGTGTGTAAATCTTGCAACCAAACAATTAAATATCTTTTTTATTTATTGTCTTATTACATTTTCCAAAATTTATCGGATTCTTTTGTCTTCAAATTGTTTATTATAGAGGGTTGGCACACTGAAAATAAATCCATCCATCCATTTTCTACCTTTAATCCATTTCTGGGTCAGGGGGGTGGCAGTCAGAGATGCCACCCAAGTCTCATAGCACCAGCCCCTCACTGACCCTCTGCAGGTGGTGAGTCCACAGGAGGACGGCTGCTCTCTGAGTGTGAGCATAGCCTTGATCTTTCAGTGGGGGCTTTGGGCAAAGTGGGGTTAAGTGTCTTGCCCAAGGACACAACTACAGCAGTCATCAGTGGGAGTCGGTGGAGAAGGTGTAGAGGTGGGAATTGAACCCACTACCTTCAGGCCTGAAGACCAATGCTCTACCAACTGAGCTACTGTCGTTAATACTTGAAAATAAATCCTGTTTTGTAAATATTTATCTCAGCTTAATGAGAACTCCATTGTAACCATAAATAATACTGCCACCATGTCCAACGCTATTTAAAGTGAGATCAAGAAAATTAAAGCTGCGGTATCTAACCTTTCAAACATTTAACGACCGGTATGTAGTAAAACCGTGTAACTCCACGCTCTCAGAACAGTCTGGTTCTATTACTAGTTGGCCTTTGGATCGTTAGATGAGATTTTTCTGACATAAAAGTGAAAAAGAGTGGGCCTCCTTCACAACTTGTTTTTGCACATCAAATACGTAGCTGTCAGTTGAAAGAAGAATCTTGCATACTGTCCCTTAACTGCCGTGTTTGTCAGAATCTTCACAGTTAGACATTGGGACAAAAGTGTGCGGTGTGTATCTGTGGTACCGACCTGCTGAGCCTGGACTGGAAACAGCCTCTGGCCAGAGTGGCTGAAAACACAGTGTACAATATAAGACCTCTGCATCATTATGGAGAAAGCTTCAACATATAAAAAAGTAAACCAAGTGGAGATATTAACATGTTTTTAGTCCGGTTTATGTGTTGCTTTAGAACAATTTAACTTGTTGTTATGGCTTTTTTAGTTTGATACAACTTTGTCTTTCTAGGCGTTTTAAACTGGGGCAGGTTTACTTTTTTAGGAGGATATTAGCATGGATTTATTACATTATGTTATTACCTGTTTAGTCTTCCCTTCAGTCCACACATCCCGAGTACTAACAAAAGAGAGAACGCTAAAATGGAGCGTTGCTTTTGAAGCTGGTGCATTACAATAAACACACACGTATTTATCATACTGTGACTTCTTACCTCTTTTAACTGCATTTCATCTGTTTAATGACGAGGGAGGGTTTAGACAGAGACTTAGTTATTAATCAAAACAGAAATTATAAGTGGCTTTTAAACAGTATTTATGTTGAATTGAGCTAATTTAGTCGGAGTCTTACACAGCATGTCGTCGTTTATGTTGTTTTTATTAAATGCTTTATTTACAAGTACAGTTTACACACAGAACAAAGCAATAGAAAAGACACTGCACATGGCCCACTGCGCTCAAACCATAAAACAACGCCTTTTCCACAATGGCACAATTTAACACACAGGCTTTAAATACACTTTGGGTTTAAAAATCATCTTTAGTCGACTATATTTAGTTTACTTTAGAAGACGGGATTACTTATTTCTTTAATTATTTTATGAGAAAGGATTTATCATTTACATTAAGCACAAATCTGTAGTGTCCAAACTGAATAGATTTTCCAGCATAAGGGAAAATAGTTCCCATGTGTTGCCTACAACAAGATACTTGCACACATTTCAGAAAAAAATGAAACAAGGATATAAGTTAATTGGCGGAAGATTGATTGATTTTATTATTTCTGGCAACACACAGAAAACGCAGTCTCATGACTCAGTTTAACAGGCATCAGTAAAGCTGCATTCTCATTAGAATTACACTGCAAATATGTAAAAAAACATAAGCTCATAATTGCTTGAATTCAGAACTCTCTATCGTGATTTTAATACATTTTGGTGGTTCTAAGATATTTGCCAAATAGAACGCACAAATGTTGTGCTTTGTCAAGAACAGCAGCATGTTTTCTTCTTTCAAAGCCCTTTACAAACATGCACAGAGCTTAGTCGTAAACTCCAGAAATGATCTCTGAAAACTAGATCCATTGTAAAGTCCAATTTACTTAGATCTAGCGAGGCATGTACATTCTTGTGCTTGGACTTGAGTTGTTAGAGTCCCTTTGGTGTAACTGGATGAAATTATTATACTCTGTAGCCACATAAACCAGATATCACTGAGACACGACCAGCAGATGCATCTAACAGCACAGAGAAAAGCCATGCTCATATAAAAATGTATGTTTCTGGACGTATATAGGCTACTTACTCATTTTGACCATTCCTCCAGTGTTTCAATTTTGGTTTGGTTGCATCACATGCGTCAGAAGTGTATTGCTCTGCAGGAATGAAATGACTTGTGCTGCTTCAGTGTGAGAATGTGAGAGAATAAAATACTCAAAGTTGTGTGATTACATTTGCTTCAAGTCTAGCAAAAATCTTTTTCTGCAGGTGAAGAGACTTTGTTTCACGTTATTTACATACGGCGCACAAACCGTTATGAACATGTGGTGAAAATACAGTACCAGCATGTGTGAATTTGAAGGACTTGTTTTGAGTTCTCACCGCCACAAAACCATCTCTGCTTCGGAAATCATACCGCTGCGTTCAAACACCGAATGATGGAGTTAGACAGATTTTTCTGGCTTGTATGTACAGCACAGAGCCAGTAGAGTGTGTGCTCCGGGTATGCTGTTTGTAAAGGGCTGAAGTTAGAAACTGCTTGTTGTTTGCATATTTGAAAGGTACAGTGCGCGTCATTTCTTTCGTCGTTTTTTTGCAGAGAATGTTCCACTGAATGGCATCATTGGTTTCTATATTTACATTTTAGATGAATGAGTCACATCAGCGATCAAACTTACTGGTCATTTTTGTGAGGAGACAAATGTACAATTCAGGTTTTCTTCAACCATTCGATCACTTTTTTCCTGGAACTGAAATCTACCTCATTGGGGCATCGCTATCACTTGATTTTAGGCCATCGAACTGCATCAGAACCATTTGTAAAGTGTTAAAATCTTTGAAAATCTAAAGAAAATTTTGCATTGTTACAACATTAAAGGGTTTAGTAATGTACACGTTTTATACCACACTGAGGAACACTCCAAGCAAAACAATTCTATCTCCATGGTAACAAGCAGGTAGCAGACCCTATCAGTCAAAATAACTCACAATGAGATAAATGTTACTTCATGCACTTTTTCACTTATATTTCATTACATTTCGCAGTGTAGAAATTGTGCTTGATGCTCTTTAGCTACCAAAATGTTCATAAAAAATTGTTGCAATGTTTATTTCTTTATTTGTTGTGTGCTTTCAGGGTTAATACTCAGTCAGTGCTTCTTTCATCTCAGCAAACAAATGCGCCCAGACATTTTAGGACATGGGGAAAACATATTTTCAACGGAGGTCAGTTGTGGGGCACCTTCAGTATCGACCGTACGGATGTTTTCTGAAGCCTCCGCGTGTGAGCCGCAGAACCGGAGCTTTGAGAGCGGGGCGAGAGGTCGGCCACTCCTCCTCTGCAGAAGAAAAAGCTTTTACCTCACATAAAAGGGTTATAAAATGAAACTCTCATAAAGAACTAATGCAGAAGTCTCTCGTACAATCCATTTAACCAAGCGCTGAAAAAGCCACAAAAGCACAAGCAGCTATGGCGCTTTTCCACACTAAATTTATTTTAAAGGCAATTTGGTCTCCTTTGGACCAGAGCTGAGACGAGAATGTCAGCATTTCATTCTCCGGATTCCAAATTACATAAAGACAACCACCTCTGCTGCATGGCACATTGCTCCGCGTCCAAATCAGAAGTGTTCACAAAGCAGAAAATCAAATGGCTGCAGCGTGGTTTAGGTTTGGTTTGACCTCAGCCCAGTGCACAATTTATGGAGCTTGAAGAGAATGAGCCTCAGACCTGCTGCGGTAACTGGCTTTTCAATGAGTTCAATAATGACACTATTTCCTCTTTTATCGATCAAATTACACCTGGAATCATTATATTACATATCCAAAATAAAAATAATATTATGTCCTTGGGTTTTATTCATTATCTCAGATGGTGAGAAGATACAGTCAGTGTTTATCTATGAAAATGTGACTATGGTTTGAAATTATGCTGCAATTAAAAGGGCATTTTAGGCTATTTGCGATAAAAAAAAAAAACACAACACATATAATAGCAGCGCACACAGAGAGAGACACACAAGAAAAATACCAGCGAGAAAGACCAGAGAGAGAGACAAGAGAGTAACACCTGAGAGAGAGACCAGAGAGAGATCAGAGAGACACCATGTCAAGAACACATCAGGATGGGCACATGCAGGCTCTGAACACCCCCACACACGACTTTGAGGGTTTTTTCTCTCCCAGTGCACCATTTACTCAAATAACTTCACACGAGGCTGTGTTTTCTGCTGTGGGTTTGGAATAACCTACATAGTATATCTTTTACTATGAGTAAAGTAAAAACATCTATTTCCCAATTTGCTCTTAACGTCCCAAGATCACATTTAATCATTACAATTATTTTAAGGCTATACAATTACAATGGACCAATTAAATCAGACTTGTCTTCAAGATTCAAGACTAATTTATTTTTGTTCAGAAGGTAATTCACTTGTACTTGGAATACAAAACAATACAGACATAAACCAGCACCGCTCCGCTCTATGGCCTGTTTGTAAGGAGGCCATCCTGGAGTAATGTATTGGGACTGTCTTGTCTTTTCCATATGATCAGGATTTCTTTGATCAAACCAGAATGCACCTTGGGTAATGATGTAAACATATGCATCTTATTTGATTCAACATACAAAATAAGCATGGGTGGTTTGATGTTTTATAAATCTACATGAACGGTGCCACTATTGACCTTTTGTCGAACCCAGGACCTTCTTATTGGGAAGCGAGAGTGATAACTACTGCCTCTGCTCAGTGTCTGGATCAGTTTCAGAGCGCTGGGCATGGAGCAATTGTGAATCTCCAGGCCAAACGCTGATCAAGAGCCAAGAGCAAAACACAGGCCTCTGCTTTTGACTCTGACGCTGCTTTTACAAGTCCTAACAACATCAGCAGCCATTGTTTCTCAAGCACAAACACATTCAAAATCATCTAAGCCCATTGTTCACGCATTAATTTCTATGTATGCCCATGAAAACAGCTAATTTCCTTCAATAACACAGCCCTCTTGTGTATCAGTTGATTAAATTACTATGCCAGCTATTCAAGGCTTTTTCTTGAGCCCTGAATATTCACAATGTATTTAGCGAATTGCAAGGCAGAACGTACCATAGTTGTTGTAGGTGTCTTCACCACTGTTTGCATGTGAATATTCATAATAATCTGAAACGCTGAAGAAACAGAGAGAATGTATTCAAAATATAGTAACCACTGTATCTAACTAAAAAGTACTGTCAACATGAAAAGGATGGACCGGAGATATTCACCTATGTACGCAGAGTGGATCAAGCAAAAATAGTTAAGGTAAAACATTGTGAAATTACTGCCGGAGTACCCAGTTTTGTACATATTTATCATTAGTATTCACATTATATTTATATAATGTTGTATACATATTATGGGGGTAGGATTAAATAAGTTTTCTTCTTCCTACTCCCTTTCAGGGACTATTTTATTTTCATGCATGTTAGCAATGCTTTACTTATTTTTATTTTTTGTTGGAAACTATGATGAACAAGAGGTGACTGCTGCCTCATGTGAAATGCCTGAAATGAATAAATAAACAAACAAACAAACAATATCTTGAGAGACTAAGACAATTATGTACTTGAATGATGAATGACTTCTTACTTGTGTGCAAAGAAACATTATTTTCAACATTGTGTTTGTTATGTTGTCAAAGATGAAGGCCGCATGTTGTGGGCTGATTTGTTCAGTTTTACAAGACTTTCTATAAGGTACCCCAGCTTTAAATAAATATGGACAAAATGCTAGTGCAAAACCTTGCAGCAATTTCAATTATAATTGCTGTAATGTTCCAAAAAGTATTTTTTTGTATAACATGTAATCAAATTTATGAAAAATAAATATTAGCTTGCAATACATGCTTTTCCTTTTGTACACAATCTCTGCTTTTCACACTTTAAATCAAGTAATATTTATGTGTTTTGGTTAACATTTGAATTGCTATCCATCATATAATTCTTATGTAAAATACTTGGATAATAATAATAATTGGATATTGGGAAACATGACAGATCATTCAATTGCTCTAGACTTTTATTGCTAATGTATTGTGCACAGTGAAATCTAATAGAAAGGCTGCAAAATGTATGTTTAGAAAAGATAATAGTCTCTAAACGGTGCATGTGTTATCGGTTTTGAATTTAAAGAACATTTATAGTGAATCATTGTCTGAAAATCCTGATCAAAACGCTTCAAAAGTATAAAATATAAATATTCTTCTGCTCTGCTCACCTCTTGGACTGATTGCTGTAATTATCTTCATATCCTTCATAACTTTCTTCATCATATTCTCCTCCATATCCGTCGTCAAAGCCCTGGAAGTAAAGACAGAATAGTCAGAGTTTTCCGATTAAACAAGAATAATACTGCAATCGATTGTGAGGTGCACAGATAGGAGTAGATCACGCTGGGTTCATAATGAGACCAACAACTTTGTCCAACACACATTATTGATTGGGGTTTTGCAGGAGGAAGGTGTTTCATATCAGCCTAATGGACACCTACTGAGCCGGCAGCTGCATAATGGAGCTGGATGACTGATGACTGGCAGCACACACACATCAATATAAAGTATGCAAAATCAGTACGTTATTGAAAATCGACTGGATGGCAAGTGTGGTGGTTATTTCTGTTTGTATCACAGCACCAAACGCCCACTTAGTTTTCATGGATTTGTCTAAACATATCTTCTCCATCTTCTGCTCCTACTCCAGCTGACCTCTCATCCATCACATGTCGAATCTCTCCATAGGTTTCAGAGTAAACTAAGTAGACAAAAAATACCACTGTTGCTTAAACAAGAAAAATAAATTCATCCTCTCTGCAATTATAGAGAGTCAAAATATCAAACAGGACTAACTTATTCATGCATTTGACTTGACGGAATAAGCAACCAATATTCAGTAAACAAGAGACTTTAAAAAACTACCATCTCCTTCAAATTACGAATTGTGCTTTAAACCACATTTTACTATGGGTTGACTGTGCATGTCTCATCTCAATTCATTCATCCATTTTCTTCCCCTTAATCCATTTTTGGGTTAGGGTGGCAGTTAGAGCTGCACCCAGTACACAGAGCACCAGCCCCTCACTGATCCTCCTGCAGGTGGTGAGTCAGGAGCTGAGATCTTTCAGCGGGGGCTTCGGGCAAAGTGGGGTTAAGTGTCTTGCCCAAGGACACAACGACAGAAGTCATCAGTGTGACGTAGGTCTTATGGTGGGCTCGAACCCACAACCTTCAGGCTCAAAGGCCAATGCTCTACCAACTGAGCCACTGTCGCCCACAATCTAAATCTCATCTCAATTCAACAACTAATCAATGACCACAAAGAAAGAGTATCCATCTCATTCATTCATGTTCATCCCTTTATTATCCATTTCTGGGTCAGGGGGGTGGCCATTAGAGCTGCCACCCAATTCACAAAGCACCAGTCCCTTGCCGATCCTTCTGCAGGTGGTGGGTCCACAGGAAGATGACTGCTCCTTCAACGGAGATACAGCCTTGATCTTGCATTGGGGACTTCAGGCAAAGTGGGGTTAAGTGTCTTGCCCAAGGACACAACGACAGCAGACATCAGTGGGAGCAGGTGACATGGGTAGTGGTGGAATCAAACCCACGACCATTAGGTCCAGAGACCAATGCTCTACCAACTGAGCCACTGTCACCCGAGTATCCATCTCATTTATTTGAATATATCAGTCCCAGCGAGGAAAGCCATAACTGGTTTTGCTGCTGTTTCCACAACTGCCCCAGGCTTTGGCAAAAAAAAGGTATCTTGTCTCGTCTTGTGTTATCTCTCTTCTCATCCTCTGTACCCTGTCAAACCGGTAGAAAATGTATAAAACAAACCCAAATATTTAATGTGGAGCTATTTTAGAAGCTGTGTACAAACTCATTTTTATGGTAAAGTTGTGTAACTGGATACTAGTACATCCCCCATTGGGTCGGACAAACACCATTCTCAGCTTGTTCCTCGATGTATAAATCCGTTAATTGCCAAAACAAAGAGTCACATGCCAAGCTCAACAAAAGTTTTGGCCAAGAAATACTAAAACTGAAACATAACAGGCACTTAAGAAGCCCAATTTATCGTATACATGGAAAAAACTCTGTGAGAAGAAAAATCTCAGAAACACCTTTGCTAACAAGCATCACGTAAAAATGGATGGACAGCCTAATTAGTTATAGCTGCAAACGGGCTTCTCCCTTTCCTTTGCATGTATCACTTCGAGGAGGTGTTGTAGGAAGATTTTGTGCTAAATACACTGTATCTGCCGCAGGGATTACAGTTCACAGTTCACGTCGACAGCTTCACCCGATCAGAGTAAAGAAGAAACGTAACTCTTGTAATTGTTGCAGATTTAGCAGACGCTGTTTTATGCACGGCATCTAATCTGATCTAATCCGTCCCCTGCTCACAATTACTGGTCTGCTTTCTGTACGATTACTCTGTTAATCAGCTTGTTGGAGCCTTTGTATGCATTTGAGATAGACAACAGGTGAGAAATCCGGGCTTCACTAAAGACTGATCACGGACGTCATGTCAAAAGAATGAGTGTAATGTCTGGCCAGTACAAAGGGGTGGAATACTTTTGAGCATTCGGTGTGGCTGCTTTGCTTAATTCATTGTGGCACTAAAGCAGACGCATCAATGAGAAGAACATGAAGTGCAGAAAGCCATATGAATTACATTTAGGGAACTTTCACACGTCTGCTGTCTCCAACTGTTCCCGCTTCTGATCCATGGATTTGAATGAAAGTCAGGGATTATTGTGTGGGATTAAGATGTTCCCGGGATCATGTAGATAGACACTGCAGGTGCAATGCAGTAATAGAAATGTGTGAAGAGTTTTTTTGTTTTGTTACACATTTGAAAAGTGTGTGGGATTCAAAAAGCTGTCGTGTTGAAAAGATTAGCAATGATTGATACTGTATAAAAACCTGACTGAGTTTTGAAGGCAAAGTCAGAACTGTAGAGACGCTGGTAGTAAATTATTAATATGAACAAGATATTGCAAACGGATGATTCTGTCTCCCTGATGACTATTATCCAAACGTTTTCTGCAGTCCATCATTTTACCCAAAGTGTCATATTTCATTTTTTGAACCTTGTATTTGTAAACTGTAAATACATCCAGTTACAGCACTACTTTGAATTGAATTATAAACACACTCACTCAGTTTGTTTTGGAGTACAGACTGGTGGTTGGACTTTTTGTGAAGCTGAGGTCCTGTAGTTTTTGGCATCTCATTAAAGTGGGAACCCTCTGAGTCATCTCTTTTTGACGTTGATACGAGTTTGGTTTTGATATCTATTCTTTCACACATGGGGGGAATTTAAAATTAAAATTAGGAACCTGTAGTGAAACAAAAATGTCCAGACAGAACACGTGTCAAATCCCATTAACCTTCTTGCAATATTGTGAGTTTATTGAAACTGCTTTTGATTCATCCCTATAAACGTTTCAAGTGAAATATAGCTTTATGCTCACATTTCACACTTTTATAGTTACTTTTTCATCTCTAGGTTGCGTTCATAATATTTTCTAAGAATTATATTATAGTTGGAGGACAGGTTCCAATCCATCATTTTGGGGACTCTATGGGAAAGAGGCTTTTTGCGAGAAAAAGTTTCCAAATGTTGTCAGTTCATTATATCAGCCATTCCCAAAGTCAGTAACACTGCGGCCCCCTTAAAAATCTGACGGGTCTGCGCCGCCCCCCGAAGTAATAACCAAGAAGACAACGTTAAAAATAGGTTCTTCTCGTTATTTTGTTTGGGGGAAATAGCCTCTGCTACAAACATGTAAATGACGCACCCCATTTTGTAATACAAAAATGATTACAATTTTATTATTCAAGTTAACACCAATATTTTAATTTTACAACCAAAGTATTAATAATTTAACACACAATGAATATGTAGTTTTCTTTTTTTAATGACCTCTTGCGGCCCCCATGCAATACCCTTGCGGCCCACCAGGGGACCGCGGACCCCACTTTGGGAGACACTGCATTATGATATGGATTAGATTCACAAACCTGGCGTTTGTTTTTCTTATGTCTTCAGACTTTCTACTGGCCAACATCATGCATGAATATTTTTACAACTTCTAGACACCTTTAGGAGAAAATAATAATATATTGAAAGGTACTGACTATGTGTTTCATGTGGATTGGCCCTGGGATTAGACAGACACAGCTCTAAACCAGGACCAGTGTGACTTTTGACAATTACTATAGTTACTGGAAAGATTTTTCAGCTGCCCTCCACCGCAATTATACCTATAGGCCCTTTGGAATGGTGTGATGTCACATTAACAAAACCAAGAAATGACACTAGCAGTCATCCGAGTTCATTCTACTCTTAAATATATTTTACCGCCGGACACATGCTGCAAATCCTGTGTCTGCTCATTAAACGTATTTGATTTTACCGCAGTCACCATCATCTGTAACAACAATTAACAGCTCTTGCACTGACGAAGACACCGAAGATAAATCACATGCTAACACAAAGGTTGCAGGCCTGTGGTTGGCAGTAATTAGGACAGCGCCGAGCTAAAGGCCCTCAGCCCAACACTTCATTATCCATTGACGAACCTGTAGCCCCCCGACAGTGACGAATGCTGAACGCCAGGCCACACCGCGGCACAAAATGAGATTCTAAGTCCATTGTTTCTTCCTCCCTATGCTTCTCACTGCTCACCTGACCATATCTTTTGTTGTACTTCTCAATGAGACTACTGTATTTACATGAGAAGTGTTGGTTTCACCTGTTATGGCATCGGACCAAAAGGCGACTTCAATAGAAGAGAACAATGCGAGGGAAAGGATTTTACCCATTTGTTAATCTCTTTGTGTATGTGCTATTGTGCGTTGCTATATGGCTTCAATTTCATTTGACTAGTAATTATACAGTATGTTGCCTTTGTGTGCACAAGGGGTCCGAGTCTTTACAGCAGCACAACATATTTATTCTTTGATTCCTATTGTTGCAGTCGACGTTAAACCTTCTATTATAGTTTGAGGGAAAGAAAACTTTTAATTGCAACAGAATGTAAAGTAAAGTCTACAGTCCATTCTTTCTAAACATATAACAGTTAAGATACTTTGAACTGGGGTCGTCAAAAGCATAGAAAATCAGACATTTATTCACACCAAAGCTAGTATTGAAACTGGGTAACTAGCATTTATCTAGCAAGCATAGATAGATACTGTCAGTAAAATAACATAAACAGAACATTTAACATTTCTTGAGAATTTGTTGATCATTTTAAAACACAAAAACTCGAAACATTTTAATATCTTTCA